CCCCCCAGATGTGGTCTTCTTCATCTACCTCTACCAACGGTGGATCTACCGCGTCGACCCCACGCGGGTGAACGAGTTTGGCATGAGCGGCGAGGCCCCAACAGCAGCTGCCCCTGTGGCCGAGGCCCTGCCAGCAGCAGGGGCCCTCTCACCTGCCCCCAGCCCTGCCACGACCACTGAGGCCGCCGGGGAGGAGGCCTCTACACCCCCGCCCTCCCAGGCCCCCCAGGGGCCCAGCTCTGCCAGCGAGCCCCAGGAAGCCCCTCCAAAGCCAGCAGAGGACAAAAAAAGGGATTAGTCGCTCCTGGTCCTCCTCCGCCCAGACTCCTGGTGACCACCACCCCGCTGCCCTGGCCCCTCGCCACCCCATCCCCGTTGCCCTTTCCCTGGACAGATCGGGCCGGGGTGGCGGGAGGCCCCCACGGCCGGGGCCCAGCGTGTGGCATGGGGGCTGGGGCAGGCCAGGGCCCGTCATTTGTGGAGGCGCCGTCCGTCTGTCTGTTCCTCTGTGTTTCTAGCCATCACGCCCTGCCAGCCCAGCACCATTGGGAATCATGGTGAAGCCGACGTGGCACTGCTGAGGGGGGGCCAGGCGGGGGAGGGGCCGGGACCCCACGGAGGGACGCCCACGGCCGTCGTCATCTTGTCTCTCCATCCCCCACCGAGCCCTCTCCTCCCAGACCGCCGCCCTTTAACACAGTCTGGATTTAATAAATTCATATGGGTGTTTAACTTAAACTCAGCAGAGCCCCCACCTCGTGCCTTCCTTCCTCTGCCACCCCAGGGAGCAGGTGTGGGCGGCTCTCCCGAGCATACACAGGGCCGCTCTAGGCCAGGCCCCTTTCTCATCCTTCTCTCCCTCCCAGAGGGTTCCAGAACTTTCCCGTCTCACAGATGGGGAAGCTGCCTGTCGTGACCGCACCGCACCAGCACTCTTAGCCACAAAGCTGTGTCAAAGCCTCACCTATGCCCGCTGACTATCTCCTGGCCTCAGGCGGCCTGGCAGGGCAGGAGGGCGAATCTGCCGCTTCGAGAGCTGAGTCAGCCTCCCTTGGTCCATAGCCCTGGGACCCTGGCTGCCCAACCTTGCTTCTGGGCTTAAGAGCTTGTCTCCAGGGGGACCCCAAGGGTGAATCCCAGCTCAGAATGGTGCCAGGCTGTGGCATCCATAACTGTTGGGGTGCCGTCAGCACCCTCAGGGCTGCCAGTGCCAAGGACCCAGCCAGAGTCTTGTGTGGTGTGCCTGCCTTCCCGACAGACTGGGTACTGGTTCACCCACTTTGTAGATGAGGAGACTGAGGCTCCCGGCTGTCCCTGCACATCCCAGGAGTTGGCACCCCACGTTCCCAGGTTTCCTTTTTGCGTGGGTGTTCTCATCAGTATTTCTAGGAGAGGAGCCCTGGGGCTGAGAACCTCTACCACGGTACCCGCAGAGCCAGGCAAGGCATCCAGGAGGTCCCAGGAGGTGTGTACAGAGCCCCACCTGTGTACACAGGCACGTGCGCACACGCTGCAGGTTCCACCCCTCAGGCCGCTGCTCCACTCCCTCCACTGCTGTGCGTCAGTCCCCACACCCACTTCCCTAGGAAAAAGCCCCACATCCTCATCGCACAGCCTTTGGCAAGACCCATCAGTATACCCCACAATTGCTTGGGGTTCTCACTGCTTCCACTGAGGCCACCTGGTCCAGGCTCCTCATTACCCTGGGGTCCCCACTCAGCCTCCTCCCTGGCCTCCTACCCTTCCCCTCATCTGTTCACTCTTCATCCAGCAGCCAGAACTTTTCTTGTTTCTTTTTTTGTTACCCTGCATGGCTGGATCAAACCATGGATCAAACCCATGCTCCCTGCAGTGGGAGCGTGGAGTCTTCACCACTGGACCACCAGGAAAGTCTCGAACAGACAGAGCTTTGTGAAGCACAAATCTGACACTACTCATTCGTTCAGAACCTACCATGACTCCCCAGTACCCCTGGGAGAAGAGCCCAGGCTGCTAACAGTGCTGAATACTTGTGGGGAGGGGGCTTCTTAACCCTTACAGCTTCATCTCCCTTGCTCTAACTAGCTGTGACCTCTTACTCTCTGGCACTCTTCCCTTACCTGAGACATGCTTCCAGGCACACAGCACTTCATCTTACCCTATGCATCCTCCAGGTTGTAGCTCCACAGCTCCTCCTCCAGGAAGCCCTTCCTGATCACCTCTTCTGAGACAGCCCCCACCACCACCACCAGCTCCCTGGTCCCACATCCCAGCCCTGGCCACTAAGGGTCATCACTGCCTGGGGACAGGTAGTGTCCACTACCTGGACTGAGCCCTGTGAGGACAGTCTCAGAGCTGCCTTGGCCATTGCTGTGTCCATGGCACAGAGGAGTCACTCTGAATGTTTGCCCAATCCTAACTCTCACCGGCACACATCCAGAAGTAAAGACCTAGATGGGACCTGTTTTAAGACACCAGTGGAGAGACTAATAAACAGTCGGTCAACAAATGTTCCCTGAGCCCTTCCCCTGGACAATGCTCTGAGCTGGGGGGAGTTCTGTGCACACAACAGGGGTCAAGACAACCCCAGGCCTGCCCTCATGGGGCTCAGAGCCCTGAGCTGAGGATTTCCGACATGTCCTTTCAGTCATTAACCCAACAAAGCATTGTGAACGCTGACATTTCATGGGGCAGAAGGGAAGCAGGTGGACTAACTGGTCCTACACAGAGGAGCCACTATTCAACACTTATCATGAGGCAAGTTCTAGTCTAAGTGCTGTATGTGGTTCTCTTCATTAAATTTCAGTACCCGATGGCCCCGTCACCTTACAGACCACGGCTCTTGCATCATCTCCACTGCTTCCCCAGCAATCCCTCGTGTCCTTGCTATTCTCTGAACATGCCATGCGTGTTCCCACCTCAGGGCCTTTGCATTTGCCATTCCTTGTGCCTTGAACACTCACCTAGACATCCACATGGATCCTTCACCATTTCAGGTATCTGATCAGATGTCATCTCAGACCCTTCCTGAACTTCCAAACCCAAATGTTATCCTCATACTCAATCCTTGTATCCTGCTTTAATCTTCTGTAATACCGCCATCACCATCAGACATGTATTTGCTTACCTCTTTTCCAGCTGTCTCTCCCCCGGCTTGGATTTCAGTGCCATGATGGCAGGGGCTTTTTAAAACTATTGTGTTGCTTGCTGTGTCCCCAGCTTTTGGAAGAGTGCCTGGTACTATTACCCTGTGTGCCATAACTCTTGTTAGTCATAGTTCACAAGAGATGAGAAAACTGAAAACTCAGAGAAGTTAATTTGTCCAAAGTCTGACAAAGTAATGTGACACAAAGTGCTAGAACAGCACTTAGCACATGGTAGAGCTCTATACAAGTGTCAACTATTGTTAGTATTTAATTCTCACACCCATCATATTATTAGACCCATTTTACAGAAGGGGAACTGAGGCTCAGAGAGATGAAGTCAGTTTCCTAAGATCTCCTAGGAAGTGGGAGACCTAGGATTGGAACTTGGGCAGCCTGATTCTGAACCTTCAAATCACAGCCTTTCTAGCAATGCCCTTGTCATATGCAGACTACAGCCTGCAGGCCCAAAATAGCATTTTCCAATTTTTCTGTAATTTTGACATGTTTTAAGTGGTTGGAGAAAAATCTCAATAATACGTTTCACATGAAAGTTAAAATTCAAATTGTAGTGGCTATAATATAATATTTTATTGGAGCATAGTCATGTTCATTGTTTCTGTGTGGTCTTCGGCGGCTTTTGTGCTATGGCAGAGTGGAGTTTTGAGACGCCTGACCCTCAGCCTAAAGCAGAACAAATTTGCTATCCAGCCCATTGCAGAAAATGTCTGCTCCCTATTTGGCTTTATAGCAGTACTCCAACTTAAGCTGACTTCATATCACCAGAAGGCTTAAGGCCACACCTTGAGAACTACAGTGGACTCTCCTGCCTCCCATGAGCAGTTCAGGGCTGGCTTGGGTGCCCTGGTATCCAGTGCAGGCTCTGGCACACAGCAGGTGCTCAATAAGTGTATGTCGACTGAATCAGTGAGTCCATGTGGGCCATGAAGAGAAGAGGTGGAACACTCAAAATTTTCACAAGCAGACACAGGATGTCAAACCTGGGCTCTGTGACCTGAGGGTGCTTGGTGTCCAAGCTGTGACCTAATGAATAGGCTTAAGACATATGATCTAACCAACTGGCTGCCCCTCTTTGAGCCTCAATCTCCTCTTCTCTGCATTAGTCCCAATTATATCACCTTTCTCTGATGCTGGTGCAAGGTGTGAGGCATTGGTGAGGCTCCCAGGTAAGCCCAGGGATCAGGCACTCAACTCATGTACCCTGGGGTCTGTGCTGTTATCGTTCCAAGACAGTTATTGAGCCTTTGAGCTGAAAGTGTTGTGGGCTGTTAGAAAACCTAAAGGGAGCTGTGGGGAGGAATGAAACATCCATCCATTCATTCAGTAAACATTTATTGGGCACCTACTGTTTTTTTCAGGTGCTGTTCTAGGTGTTGGGGATATAGCAAGGAAGAAAATAGACAAATCCTAGAGTTGACACCTTAGCTTTAAATGTTTAAGTATCTTCAACAATTGACTCAGTTGAAGGAACTGAGGTGTAGAGAGACCATGGAAGTTTCGAAAAGATTATCATCAGGGCAGCGATAGAGCCCTGGTAAACCTCCTGATCCCGAAGCTTCCCTTCCTTCCAGCCACAGAAACAGGTCAAGGCCCTTTGGCAGACTTGGGGAGGCAGGTCTCAGTTTCCTAATTTGCTACATGGGTAGGTTAGGTAGTTGCTCGAAGCGGACTCAGCGGTCTCGGCTTGGGTAATGGGCATCGTCGCTGGTCGGGCCCCTTCGGTGCGCCCAGCCTCCTCTTCCCGGCCGGCCCCGCCCCCGAAGCCACGTGACGCGTGGGGGTTTTCCCGTTCCCCTGGCGTGACGTAACGACGGGGTGCGGGCCAATGAACGCGCAGGCCGGCGGCGCCGGGGAATTCCGCCGCCCCGCCCCCGCCCTCCCCGGGCGCCGCGCGTCCAGCCCGGCTTGAGGCCCCAGCCCCTGCGCCGCTCTCCCGACCCGCGATCGTCCGCCAGGCCGTGCCACCTGGCCGCTCTGCCCGCCCGCGTGTGTGTGTTTTGGTCTGGGCTGGCCTCCGGGCCGTCAGTCCCCACTGGTTGGGCCATGCCGAGTCGCCGCGTCGCCAGATCGTCCGCTGCGCCGGAGCTCGGGCCCTTGGGTAAGCGGGGTCAGGGATCAGGAGAGGAGTCTGGGGCGGGACTGGAGACGCGGGAGTTCTGGGGGTCCCGGAGTAGTCTGGGAGTTCCTACAGGAGTCCAGGGGTTTTGCGGGGAGAGTGTGAGGGTTCTGGGGACACTATATCAAAGGGAAGGAAGGAGGCAGAGGATGGTGACCGGGTCCGGTTCAAGGTAAGAGAGAGGCGTCCCACTATAGAGTGAGAAGGGGGCGGGGCCTGACCCTGAGGCAAAGAAGGGGGCGGGACCCGACGACAGAGGGGAGGGGCGGGGCCTGACGGAGAAGGAGGAGCGGAAGCCGTTCCTGAGGGATTGGGCGTGGCCAGACGCAGACAGGGAGTAAAGGGAGGGGCCTGGCTCCCAGAAGGGGGCGGGGTCTAAGATTAGTGCGATAAGGGGGCGGGGCCTAACGCAAAGAAGGAAGCAAGCTCTCGCCTACTCAGAGTAAAAGGCGGGGCTTACGGTGATAAGGGGGCGGGGACAGACTCGGAAAGGGAGAAGGGGCGGGGCCTGACTCTGGCGGAGAGAGAAGGGGGAGGGCCTGTTCTGAAAAAAAGAGGGTGGGGTCTTACTCAGAGAAGAAAGAGGAGGTGGGGCTTGTCTCAGGAGAGAAGTGGCAGGGTCTGAGAGGGAGAAGAGGACTGGCTTGACACTGGAAAAGTGAAGGGTAGGGTCTGGCCCTGAAATAAGGGAGGGGGTGGGGGCTTTTCTAACTGAGGTTGATAAGAGTTCCTTCAGGCCCTTCTCAGCCTTCTTAACGGAGAGAAGGAGCAGGGACTGAGTGTGACGAGGAGTGGGGTGACAGAGAGAAAGTAGAGAACCTTTCCACGAGTTAAGGAAGTAAGTAAGGCCAGACCAGGCAAGCTAAGGGTGAGGGGCCTGACCCAAAGAGGCGGTGCCAGGAGAGGAACGGGGTGGGGCTTGGAAGATTCTCTGGTTTTCCCGCCGCATCTTCATCACCTCCTGAAACATGCCTCCTTCCCTGCAGGGTCCGCTGACCTCTCCTCGCTCTCTCTCGCCGTTTCCAGGACCACGGGTGAGCAGCCCTCCACAGTTGCTGCCCGTCTGCACGCTCAGGACGGGCAGGGGGAATCCTATGGAGGTGGCCTTGTGCATGCCTCTATCTGGGGTGGCGGGGGGGATTGCAGAGGTCCACCTCAGCTTTCCTCAGCCTGTGTCCCTCCCTGCCCGTTGAGATGGGGGTCCCCAGATGCCCCTACCTCCCAGGTGATAAGGAGCTGGGCAAGTACAACTAACCACCTACTCGCTTTCTAAGAGGAGTCCTCTTTAGAGATTCACTATCATAGTGCAGAGGGCAATAATTATATGCTGGTGCCACCACCCCTTCACTGTGTGAATGTCTGCAAATCATTTCCCCTCTCTGGGCCTCAGTTTTTCTCATCTGAAGAATGGGCATAATATCAATGCCTCCCTTTTGGAGGGACCAAGATGAGTCAATGAGTTGATACAGCTAAACAGTTCAGTATTAAAACAATGACAGTATCAGAGCAATATCTGGCACACATTTAAGGATCACCCAGAGAGCTGTTAAAAACAAATCTTTGGGCTCCACCTCCAGAATTTCTGATTCAGTGGGTCCAGGATGAGCTCTGGAAATGTGCATTTCTAGCAAGTTCTCAAGAGATGCTGAGAACCACTAGTCTATAATGCCCTTCATTCAGTGCCATCCAAAATTCATGGGACTTCCCTGGTGGTATAGTGGTTGAGACTCCATGGTTCCACTGCAGGGGGCGTGGGTTTGATCCCTGGTTGAGCAGTTAAGATCCCACGTGTCATGCAGCAAAAAAAAAAAAAACAAATACAAACCACACACACACACCATATACAGCGCTGATCAAGGAAATACAGAACCATGGCCAAAGGATGACATCCTTTCTCATAAATGTGCTGGAATTTGCAGGTCAGGGGTTGAATTCTGCCGCCGTGAAAACTCGGAGGCCCCCGAGGGCTGGGTCTGAACCTCTCTCTGGAGGTGGAATCTTGGGATGGACCCCAGAAGTGCTGGCATGGCTGTGGAGGAGGGCCTGTGGGTTCTCTAACAGATCTCTGAGTGAGAGATTCTGAAAGGTGGGAGCTGCACTGGAAACAGGTCCTGCCAAGCACTGCGTCTGGGCAGGAACAAGGCTGAGATTTTTCTGACCCAAGACCTAGATCTTTGGTTTCAATTAAGAGTAATTTTTGCCATAATCCATTCAATAAATATTTATTGAGTGCCTATTCCTTACCTGGCCCTGTGCTGGGCAGTGCTGAGGACTCAGCAATAACTGAGACAACCCTGGCTGTGCCCTCACAGGGTTCCCTACCTAGACGTGGAGGCAGCTAGGTACACAATGAATTAACTGTAGGATTGTAAAATGTGATAAAGGCTATAAACAAGTCTTGGGATCAGTGACACCTAAATAGCAAGGTGGGGATGGGAGAACTGAGATGGAGGGAAATTTTCCCTCGTTTTGATGAACCAGATACACACTGGGCCCTGGGTATAGTGGGGAGGGGCAGATGTGTTTCCTCCTCTCTGGTGCTCACAGTCTACAGTAGACTGATGTGAGTCACTGTAATGTAAGGTCATGTCAAATCCTAACAAGTGTCATGAAAATGATAAAACCAAGGCACCTAACTATGAGTGACTGGAGTGGGGGTTCTGGGGGTTACCTTGGATAAAGTAGTCAGGGAAGACCTATCTAGGAGGTGACATTGGAATGGGGACCTGCAAGTGGAGAAGGAGGCATACAAAGAACTGAAGGAAGGGCATTCTGGCAGAGACTAACCTGTGCAAAGGCCCCGAGGCAAGTGGTGAGAAAGACGGCTGCTCAAGTGTGCTCAAGGGACTGCCCCTGAATGGTGGCTAGTTTGTGTAGGAGGTGGGGGTGGGGGTAGGTTGAGTAGACCCTGAATAAGACCCTGACTGAAAGAGGATTTTAATTTTAGATAATAATAATTTTTAAAAACTAATAATTAAGCTTTATGAAGGGCCTGAAGTGTTCAGACCCTATACTAAGCAATTTCCCAGTGTGCTTCTAAATCCTCATGCTAATGCCTGAGATGTATCAGCTCATTTTATAGAGAAGAAGGCTCAGAGAAGTTAGGCAACTTGCCCAAGGCAACACAGCCAGCAAGTGACAGCTGGGATTCAAACTGACATCTGTGTGACTCCACACCTGATACTCTGATATGATGTCTTCAAACCTCCCCATTTTATAGACAAACTTCTGCTGCTAGAGAGCAAAAGCAATTTTCCCAAATTCATAAAGTAATGTCTCTGACGCCTTACCCAACAATAGCCAGCGTTTATGTATCACCTACTATTATGGAGGTTCTAAGTGCTTCCTGTATATCAGCTCATTTAATTTTCACAACAGCCCCACAAGAGGGGCATTATTATTATGTCCATTTTATAGATGAAGAAACCAAGGCACAAAAAGAGGTTAAGGGACTTCCCCTGGAGAAGGAAAAGGCTACCCACTCCAGTGTTCTGGCCTAGAGAATTCCATGGACTGTATAGTCCATGGGGTCACAAAGAGTCGGACACGACTGAATGACTTTCACTTCACTGGTGGTCCAGTGGCTAAGACTTTGCACTCCCAATGCAGGGGGTCCAGGTTCCACCCCTGGTCAGGGAACTAGATCCTACATGCCACAACTAAGAGTTCACATGCCACAACTAAAACATCCCAAATTCTAAACTACAAAAAAAAAAAGTTAAGTAATGGGCTCAAGGCCACATTAGCACACAGCAAGGAGTGGAACCAGGATTTGAACTGAAGCAGTCCAGAGCTCCAAAATTGCCCAGGCCTCAGTTTCCCCTTGCAGCCTGGGAGTTCCTTGAGGGCTCGGACACAGGCTAAGTCATCTTTGGAGCCCCGGGTCATCCAGCACAGACACCTGAGAAGGTGTTTCCAAGTTGAAGTGACTTGACGTCGGCCCTGCCACTGACCGACAGCATGTCCCCTCCTTTCTCCCAGCCTCAGTGTCCCCATCTATCAAGTGGGGGTGTCTTCCTCACCCTGCTGACTTCACAGATCACATGAGATAAGAAGTGTAGGAAGACTGCTTGCTTTCCAAGGAGCAAAGGTCTGGCTGCCAGGAGCCACTCCCGGAGAGTGGAGGAGGAGGACAGATCTGGCAGCTGAGCAGCTCGGCGATAATCCAGCCGCCAGTCGCCAGCACAGGCAACTGTGGATGGGGCACCTGGACCCCGCCTGCCCTCCCTGGCTGTGTGACCCTCCAGGCTTGCTTGCTCCCTCGGGGCTCCCGTTGTTTTACGTCTGTGGAATGGTGGGAGGTTGGTTTCGATCCTCCATGGTCCCTTCCAGGGCTGAGCTTTCCTGAGGAGGTGATAAGGGGCTTCCCCAGCATTGCTGTTATTCCCTCCTTAGGGAGAAGGGGTGAATCCCAGATCCTGGGTGGGCACTGCTCGGGGACCAGCAAGGAATGCAGAGCAGGTGGTTGCTTGGGGTGGAGGATCAGCCTCCCTGGAGCTTTAGACACCAGCAAGTGATATCTTGGGGTCTCGGGTGGGCTTTAGGGAGGGGTACAACCTCACATTTTGTTTAGAATCTTTTTTTTTTTTTTTGGCTGAGCTGTAGAGCTTGTGGGATCTTAGTTCCCCAGCCAGGGATCAAATCTGGACCCTTGGTAGTGAAAGCACAGAGTCCTAACGACCAAACCTCTAGGGATTTCCCTTGTTTAGAATCTTAGGTGTCCCCCTTTTTTTTCCCCCTGGTGATAAAACCCTTGACTTTTCATCAGATTTTCAACAATGCTTCATTATCCCTGGTCTAAATGTTTTGAGGGGAGGCATTTGAGGGTAGCCTAACCCTAGGACCCCAACATTGGGAGCTGAAGGGAAAGTAGACCAGGAGCAAGAGATGGGGGTTGGGGCTTAACATCCCAGGATTTCCTAGGATGGAGGAAGAGGGAAGGGTTCCAGGAGGGGAAGGGGTTGGCGGGGGGTTCTATCTTAAAACATGAAAGTCTTGAACACTTTCTGGACCTCACCTTTCTTACCTTTCTCTTTCTCTTCCTTCCACAGATGAACTGGGTAAGTATCACAGGGCGGTCTAGGGGGGAGGCTAAAGAGTCCCAGGTGGTCACTGAGGGGGATCTTGGCCTTCCTTTTTGGTGAGGAGGTCACGGTGTGACTTCTGGGACTGCTGGGGGATTTTAACAGTCATGTGCTCTCAGGGTAATTAGCAGCGCTTGTGAAAATGCAGCATATGCCAGCTGCCTTTAATATTAGTTACCATTACTACGACTATTGTTCATTCCTTGAGTGCACTGTATGGAGCATGAGCTGTGGATTCAGCCCTGAAGCGAAGCCTCTGCCCTCTTGGAGCTGATACTCTAGTGGCGGAGACTGAAGGAAAAGGAATAAAGAACAAAACAATGTTAGATTGGGCTAAGGCTTGTGAAGGAAATAAACAGGAAAGGGCCTGGGGAAAATACATTAGATCGGGCCTTTCTGAAGAGGTGAACTGAGACTGGAAGGACGAGAAGGAACCAGAATGGTTCAAATAGGGGGACCAGGCAGATGGAGGAACCAGTACAACACTCTGAAGAGGGCCGGGCTTGGTGGGTGCAACAGAAAAGAGACCAGAATGTGGTGAGAGGGGGCAATGGGAGGCCAGAGGCCCAGGACAGCCAGGATTCTGTGGCCAAGGCCAGGGGTTGTCTTGTTTTCCTGAGATGAATGGAGTTTGGGGAGAGCTTTATATGGGGAAGGTGTTGACTGACTCTTGGGGAGATGGGAGCCACTGGAGGTTTCTGTGCACATGAGGACAGGGTCTGATATCAGATCCCTCCAGCGATGTGTGGCAGATAGACTGGAAGAGGGGAGGTGGGGACCAGGAGCAGTGATCAGATGGAAAAGGATGGAGGGCGGCCCAGGGAGGAGGCAGCGGGGGTGGGAGAAGTGGTGGGATTATACATGTATATTTGAGGGAGAGGCAGGAGAGTTCCAGGTGGTGCTAATGGCAAAGAATCCTTCTGCCAATGCAGGAGATGCAAGAGACGTGGGTTTGATCCCTGGGTCAGGAAGATCCCCTGGAGGAGAAAGTGGCAACTCACTCCGGTATTCTTGCCTGGGAAATCCCATGGACAGAGGAGCCTGGCAGGCTACAGCCATAGCGTCACAAAGAGTCTGACAAGACTGAAGCGACTTAGCACGCACACACACACATGCAGGAGAAGTTCATGGATTAGACCTAGTGGATGTGGGATCCTGAGCCGCTGACAACATGGCATCCTTCCAGCTTGATCACTGGATGGTGATGCTCCTTTCTGATATGAAGCTTCAGCAGAGCGGCTGTTATTCCTGTTGTTATTAAATGGGGCAAGATGGAGGCAGGGGTGCCTGTGACTTGGTCTTACCTTGATCCAGGTGAGAGGTCATGGAGGCATGGGTGCAGGAGCTGTTTTGGAGGCTAGTGGACATGAGCGTGCAGGAGAAGGAGAAACCAGGCCGACCCCCAGGGCCTTAAGAACTGGGGATGCTGGGGGTCTGTTTGCAAGAAGGAAGGCAGGGGCTTTTTTGTGTGTTAAGAGCTGAAGCCCCTACTCTCTGTGTATGAAGCCCACAAGAAATCTGTCTTGAAGAAATGAATGAACAGGAAATGGAGAGGGTGGCAAAAGTCAGGGGATTAAACAAGCCTTTTCTTTTAACAATCAGCGTCACCCCCAGTTTTGGCTTCTCCCGCAGAGATCATCGACGAGTACATCAAGGAGAATGGCTTCGGCTTGGAGGGGGCGCAGCCCGGCCCGGGCGAGGGGCTGCCGCGCCTGGTATCTCGCGGGGCGGCCTCCCTGAGCACCGTCACCCTGGGCCCCGCGGCGCCTCCGCCCCCGGCCACACCGCCGCCCTGGGGCTGCACCCTGGGCCGGCTGGTGCCCCCGGCCCCGGGCGCCGGGCCGCGGCCGCACCTGGTCATCACCGAGCAGCCCAAGCAGCGCGGCATGCGCTTCCGCTACGAGTGCGAGGGCCGCTCGGCTGGCAGCATCCTCGGAGAGAGCAGCACGGAAGCCAGCAAGACGCTGCCCGCCATCGAGGTAGGCAGAGGGAGATGGGCACCAGGAGTGGGGGGAGGCGGGGCGTGGGGTGGAGACTCGCGATTCTCTTGCCCCCAGGAGTCACATGCGCGTATTTCTTTATTCGTGCATTTTTATGATGATGATGATTGTTTTAAAATTTTCATTTATTTATTTTTGGCTGCACTGGGTCTTCGTTGCAGTGGGCTTTCCCTAGTTGCCGAGCGTGGGGGCTACTCTCTAGTTGTGGTGCAGGCTTCTCATTGAGGTGGCCTCTCTCGTTGCAGAGCAGGGGCTCTAGGCCCTTGGACTCAGTTGCTCCACAGCATGTGGGATCTTTCCAGACCAGAGGTTGAACCCCTGTCCCCTGCATTGGCAGGCAGATTCTTATCCACTGCGCCAAGGGAGAAGTCTCTATGGTGGTTATTATTACTGTTGTTGCTACTTTTGGGGTGGATGATACCACTGGGGTGTGTGTGTGTGTGTGTTAGTCGTGCTCAGTCATGTCCAACTCTGCGACCCCGTGGACTGTAACCTGCCAGGCTCCTCTGTCCATGGAATCCTCCAGGCAAGAATACTGAAGTGGATTGCCATTCCCTTCTCCAGATCCCGCTGTTACTTGGCATTAAATTTAAAGAGTTTTCAGAGAAAGACCTTCTTCCTGGCAATATGGCAGTATTGATCAGAATTATTATTGCTGTAAGGGCAGTGTAGCCTCTTGGTTCACGGTAAGAATCCGAGTGCTTGAGTTCGAATCCTGCTTCCACCATCTGCTAGCTGTGCTGCCTCGGGCACGTTACTCAGTCACGCTGTGCCTTCTCTACAAAACCTGATAATAGGGACTTCTCTGGTGGTCCAGGGTTTAGGACTCTGCTTTCATTCCTGAGGGCCCAAGGTTCAATCCCTCGTTGGGGAACTAGGATTCTGCAAACCGAGCAGCATGGCAAAAAAAAAAAAGTAAAATAAAACCCCCAAACTTCTGGAAGTGGGATTGCCCATCAAAGGCAACTTGACAGCTGTTGCCAAGTTGCCCTCCTTGGGGGTTGCACCCATGACTGTCTCTCCCAGTGATGTCTGGGAGGCCTGGTGCCTCATGCCTCTCCAGCACGGAACCTTCTTGTATTTCTGGATCTTTGCCCAAGTGTCCGTGGACCCTGAATTGTGTCCTCACCATCCCACTCGCCCCAGATCCAGGCCCAGGTCCTCCCTGACCTCCAGCTTCCTGCCTGGTGACCAGCTCTCAGTCCCCTGCAGATTTCCCTTCCCTCTTCAGTGAGGCAGCCAGAGGGGTGCTGGTAAATTACACATCTGCTCCTCTCTCCTGCTTAGAATCCTCCTTGGTCTCCTGAGTACCCTCAGGAGGAGGCCCAAGGTCCTCCTGGGGAAGAGCCTCCCCGGGGTCTCTTAAGACCTTTGCTTATTTCTTTTTAAAGATTTATTTAATTATTTAACTGTGCTGGGTCTTAGTTGCAGCACATGGGATCTTCCATCTTAGTTGTGGCATGCTAGATCTAGTTCCTTGACCAGGGATGGAACCCAGGCCTCCTGCATTGGGAGCATGAAGTCTTAGTCACTGGACCACCAGGGAAGTCCCTCTAAGACCTTTCCTGGTCCGGCTTCTGCTGCCCACTCCCACCCGGAGCCCTCACTCCCCACCATCCAGTCATCACACCTTTGCCACTGCTGTTCCTCCTGCCTGAAATGCCTTCCACCTGCAGCCTTGAGTTCAGTTCAATCACTCAGTCGTGTCCGACTCCTTGTGACCCCATGGACTGCAGCATGCCAGGCCTCCCTGTCCGTCACCAACTCATGGAGTTTACTCAAACACATGTCCATTGAGTTGGTGATGCCATCCAACAATCTCATCCTCTGTCATCCCCTTCTCCTCCCGCCTTCAATCTTTCCCAGCATCAGGGTCTTTTCAAATGAGTCAGTTCTTCACATCANTTTTTTTTTTTTTTCATTTATTTTTATTAGTAGGAGGCTAATTACTTTACATCATTACAGTAGTTTTTGTCATACATTGAAATGAATTAGCCATGGATTTACATGTATTCCCCATCCCGGTCCTAACTGTTGCTTCTTGACCTGCATACAGATTTCTCAGGAGGCAGGTCAAGTGATCTGGTATTCCCATTTCTTTAAGAATTTTCCACAGTTTGTTGTGATCCACACAGTCAAAGGCTTTGGTGTAGTCAGTCACCCCCTATTTACCTGTGAGGCCTCAGCCCACCTCAGGGTTGCCTTTTCTGATCCCCATCCTGGTGCTGGCTTCCGCGTGTGAGATGTTTCCGTCTCCTCTCCCTCAATGCCTCTCTCTCTATTTAATTGGAGAATAGTTGCTTTACAATGTTATGTTGGTTTTTGCTGTACAACAGTATGAATAAGTCATAACTATATATATATCCCCTCCCTCTTCAGCCTCCCTCTCACCCCACCCTTGCCTCTCTCTTTATATAGACATTTATAGAGGGCAATTTGAAAGTGAGTTGGAGATATGATACTTCACTCAAAATGTTTCTGCCTGTATCTCTCAAAAGCCATGACTTTTTTCTGCAAGGTAGAACCTGTATAATGACAACTCTGTTATCACGTACTAGAAATGTAATATTCATGCAATGATATCTTCTAAGGTTAAGTCCATAGTCTATTGATCCCACTGACCCCAGATATCCTTTATACTTTTTTTTCTTTGGTCCACTTGTTTAATATCTGGTCTAGTCCAGTCCTGCCTTTAGTTGTCAGGTCTAAATATTTGTGTACCCTCTCCATTCATACATTCAAACCCTAACTCCAAAAGTTGGAGTAGAAAATGGCAACCCGCTTCAGTATTCTTGCCTGAGAAAATTCCATGGACAGAGGAGCCTGGAGGGCTACAGTCCATGGGGTTCCAAAGAATTGGACACGACTGAGCACACGCAACTCTGAAGGTGATGGTGGTAGGAGGTGAGGCCTTTGAGATCAGTGCCCTTATAAATGAGGTCCCAGAGCACGCCCTCAGCCCTTCCCCCATCTGAGGACACGGTGACAGAGCCTGTGCCCAAAAGAGGCCCTCACCAGAACCCAGCCATGCTGGCACCTTGATCTTGGACTTCCAGCCCCCAAAATTCTCAAGAAATAAAGACGGGTATCTTCAGTGTCCTTTGACCTGGGTTTGTTCCTCAGGCTGCCTTTGCGTTTTGGGACGGCGACGTTTATGGAGGACAGAAAAGGTGTTGTTTTTTTGTTGTTGCTTATTTCGCTATGCTCCATCTTAGTCGTGGCCCAAGGAATCTTCAATCTTCATTGTGGTGTGCAGGCTCTTTAGTTGCCTCATGAGGGATTTTTTTTTAGTTATGGCACATGGACTCTTAGTTGCAGCATGTGGGATCTAGTTCCCTGACCAGGGATCGAACCTGGGCCCCCTGCATTGGGAAGTTCGGAGTCTTAGCCACTGGACCACAAGGGAAGGTGCTTTGTAGTATGTCCCACATTCTGGATTTATTGGCTGTTTCCAGGTTAGATCGGGTTATTAATTTTGGCAGGAATACCCCAGTGGTGAGGCTGTGGTCCTCTTAGAGTCTGACATCCTGGCACGTGGAGTGGCAGTTTGTCCTAATATCTGATGCTGAATTGGATCCCGCGGTTAAGGTGGTTTATACTAAGCTCCAGCTGCCCTCACAGAATCCCACAGACTGGTTGCCTTGAACCACAGGAATTTATTGTCTCATGATTCTGGAGGCGGGAAGAACAAAACTGAGCTATCAGCAGGGTTGGTTTCCTCTGAGGCCTCTCTCCTAGGCTTGCAGATGGCCGCCTTCTCTCTGTCCTCACTTGGTCTCTCCTTTTTGTCCACACTGGTGTCTCCTTGTGCATCCAAATTACCTCTTCTTGTTCAGTCACTCAGTTGTGTCTGACTGTTTGTGACCCCATGGACTGCAGCATGCCAGGCTTCCTTGTCCTTCACCATCTCCTGGAGTTTGCTCAAACTCATGTCCATTGAGTCAGTGATGCCATCCAACCATCTCATCTTCTGTCATCCCCTTCTCCTCCTGTCTTCTTTAATCTTTCCCAGCATCAGGGTCTTTTCCAGTGAGTCAGTTCTTCGCATCAGGTGGCCAAAGTACTGGAGTTTCAGCTTCAGCGTCAGTCCTTCCAATCAATATTCAGGGTTGACTACCTCTTCTTGTAGAATGGCAACCCACTCCAGTATTTTTGCCTAGAGAATTCCATGAACAGAGGAGCCCAACGGGCTACAGCCCACAGGGTTGCAAAGAGTCGGAGACAACTGAGCAACTTTCACTTCAGAACAGAAGGCCAAGAGCAGAGTGGATTAGTCCCCACCCTAAGTGAAAGTGAAAGTGTTAGTCACTCAGTCGTGTCTGAGTCTTTGCGACCCTGTGGACTGTAGCCCATCGAGCTCCTCTGTCTGTGGGATTTTCCAGGCAAGAATACTGGAGTGGGCTAGCCATTCCCTCCTCCAGGGGATCTTCCCAACCCAGGGATCCAACTTAGGTCTCCTGAATTGCAGGCAGATTCTTTATTGTCTGAGAAATCAGGGTAGTCTCCACTCTAAGGGCTGATTAATTTACTCACCTCTCTAAAGGGTATAAGGCTTCCCAGGTGGTACTAGTGGTAAAGAATCCACCTGCCAATGCAGAAGATGCAAGAGACTTGGGTTCAATCCCTGGGTCAGGAAGATCCCCTGGAGGAGAAAGTGGCAACCCACTCCAATATTCTTGCCTGGGGAAAATCCCATGAACAGAGGAGCCTGGTGGGCTACAGTCCATGGGGTCACAAAACAGTCAGACTCGACTAAGCACAGCACTTACAGGGTCTGTCTCCCTGCGGCTAGGGCTTCAACATATGAATTTTGGAAGCGTGCAGTTTAGCCCATAACAGGTAGTGACTCACTTCCTTGATGGTCCAGTGGTTAAGACTGCATGCTTCCACTGCAGGGGCACCAGTTTAGTTGCTGAACAGGGAATTAAGATCCCACAAGCTGCATAGCGAGGGAAGAAAAAGCCACCAAAGTGATGAATAATTCTCAGTCTAAATAAAATCCAGTCCTCTCTCATGTTAGGAAGATCCCCTGGAGAAGGGAAAGGCTACCCACTCCAATATTCTGGCCTAGAGAATTCCATAGTCCATGGGGTTGCAAAGAGTCAGACATGACTGAGCAACTTTCACTTTTCATGTTCATATCACACTTTAGAGGTTCTCTGATGCCAGCAGGGCCCTGTGAGTGACCTAGGAAAACCAAGTGGGTCTGGGCCTCATCTCAAGGGGCTGGTATCTGTCTGCTGCCTCATGTGGCTGCTGAGTAGAATTCCAACCCTGATTGTCATAACTTCCTTTTTAAAAGGAGGACCTGGAAATCTGGAATAACATGATGTCTCATACCTTTTAAATGTGGGCTCCAAATTTTCCCCAACTTCTTCCTTTTTTTTTTTTTTTTGCCATGCTACACAGTGGTCGGGACCTTAGTTCCCTGACCAGGGATCAAACCTGTGCCCTCTGCAGTGAAAGTGCAGCCTTAACCACTGAACGTCAGGGAAGTCCCTTCACCAACTTAAAAAAAAAAAATTTTATTTTATTAAATTATAGTTGATTTACAATATCTTGTTAATTTCTGCTGTACATCAGTGATTTAGTTATATATATGTATGTATATATTTATACATATATTCTTTTCATTATGGTTTATCACAGGATATTGAATATAATTCCCTGTGCTATCCAGTAGGACCCTGTTGTTTATCCATCCTACATATAATAGTTTGCATCTACTAATCCCAAACTCTCAGTCCTTCCCTCCCCTACCCCGCCCCAACTTTTTATTTTGAAAAAAAATCTTTTAAATCTTTTTTCTAGGTTTCTTGTTTGTTTCTTTCTTTGAGGTATAACTGAATACAAAAAACTACTTATTTAATGTACACATTTTGATGAATTTAGAATGAAAACAACTGCAATCTCCAGAAAAATTTAAAAAATAGTACAACAAGCACCTGTGTACCCTTCACCTGTATTCACCAGTAGACCTCAATTTTACCTCAACTTGCTATATCTGACCCTCTTTCCATGCATGCAAATATGCGTAGTGTTCACACACACACAGATATGCACATTGCTTTTTCTGCGGACCCATTTGCAGATGAGTTGTAAATATCATGTTATTTCACCTGTAGATACTTCAAGGGGCATCTTCTAAAAATAAACTCCTGGTGGCTATGATGCTCATTACTATCCCTAGGAAAAAATCAGTAATATCCCATAATATCATCTAATATACAGTCCATGCTGAAATTTCCAAATCGTTCCCCCCATTTTTTTTTTTTTTTAAGATCTGTTGGTTGATTGATTTTTGGCCATGCCAGGTCTTTGTTCTGCACGGGCTTTCTCTATTTGCGGTGAGTGGGGGCTTCTCTTCGTTGTGGTGCTCAGGCTTCTCCATTTGGCAGTTTCTTTTGGAGTGGAGCACAGGCTCTAGGCTGGAGGGCTTCAGTAGCTGTGGCTCACTGACTCTAGAGCACTGGCTCAGTAGTTGTGGTGCTTATTGCTCTGGGCTTAGTTGCTCCAGGCATATAGGATCTTCTGGGACCAGGGATAGAACCCATGTCCCCCTCCATTGGCAGGTGGATTCTTAACCACAGGCAAGTCCCTCAAAATGTGTTTTATAATGATTTCTCCCTCCTCAATCTAGGGTCCTATGTTGCATTTGGTTGTGTCTCTGAGTCTCTCTCCTCTTGTTTTTGGAAATTGAGTTGTATTTGATTAAATATTAAGTGTGTAGCTCTAAGAATTTTGACATATGTATACATTATTTAACTACCAGCAGATCAAAATACATTTTTTGTTCTTTTTTAACCCCAAATATGACACCTATCTTTTTCTTTGACTGCTCTGGGTTTTAGTTGTGGTGTGTGGGATTTAGTTCCCCAACCAGGGATCAAACCCAAGCCCCCTGTATTAGGAGCACAGAGTCTTTAGCCACTGGACTACCAGGGAAGTCCTCACTCATCTTTTTATTGTCTTTCATGACCCAGATATGTCTGAATGGATGACCTGCAGTTAGGGCTTGTTTGACATTTCCTCACGACTAGATTCTGGGGTTGCACTTCTGGAGGGGCTGTCATAGAAGAAAGCCTTCTTTATGGTCCAGCTCTCACATCCAGATGTGACTACTAGAAACATAAGTTTAACTAGACGGACCTTTGTTGGCAAAGTGATGTCTTTGCTTTTTAATACAAGCTGTCTAGGTTCATCATAGCTTTCCTCCCAAAGAGCAAGCATGTTTTAATTTTGAGGCTATAGTCACCATCCGCAGTGATTTTGGAGTCTAAGAAAATAAAACTTTCCCCTCTTCTATTTGCCATGAAGTGATAGAACCGGGTGCCATGATCTTAATTTTTGGAATGTTGAGTTTTAAACTAGCTTTTTCACTCTCCTCTTTCACCCTCATTAAGAGGCACTTTAGTTCCTCTTCACTTTCTGACCTTAGAGCAGTATCATCTGTGTGTCTGAGGTTGTTGACATTTCTCCCGGCAATCTTGATTCCAGCTTGTGATTCATCCCAACAGAGGATGCCTGTGCTCTGTTGGCCCCGTATTGGTGATACTGACCTTGATCACCTGGTTAAGGTGGTGTCTACTGGGTCTCCCCACTATGAGTATGTTATCTGTGGACCACACTTGGAGACCTTGTGTGCATCCATTTTTTTTTAAGTGGCCAAAGAAAGCGCATCTGTGGGTCAGCTCTCACGTTATGAGGTCCCCAGGTTGGAAGCTTTGGGTTTTGGATCTAAAAGAAGTCTTCAACCGACACACTTCCATTGTTGAGGGGGAGAGGAGGTACCAGAGGAGGCTTGGATGGGTGGAGGTGTCTGCGATGGGACCCCAAGAGCACCCGTCTTCCTGCAGCTCCGGGACTGTGGAGGGCTGCGGGAGGTGGAGGTGACCGCCTGCCTGGTGTGGAAGGACTGGCCTCACCGAGTTCATCCCCACAGCCTCGTGGGGAAAGACTGCACAGACGGCGTCTGCAGGGTGCGGCTCCGGCCTCACGTCAGCCCTCGGCACAGGTACCTGACCCCTGACTCCTTGCGCTTGGTCATGGAGATTTTGAGGGGCCGAGGATCACCCCAGGAAACCTTAGGACTGGGGCAGCTTGACCAGACTCTCCCTGCTGCATTGCCTAGATGGGGAAACCAAGGTCTGGGAACAGTGGAGGGTCTCATTTAGGCCTGGAACCCTGCTGCATGCACATTCACATGCATTATATCTATCCCCATTTTGTAGAGAAGAAAACCATGGCTCAGAGAGGTGAAGGAGCCCAGATAGCCAATGGCAGAGCTGAGATTTTACTCCAGACCTGACTTAACTGCAAGGCCCATTCTTTCTTTCACTTTATAATTTATATGTTTTCAGTTTAAAAAAGTAAAAGGTTCAGAAAGGGTGTGCAGTGAAAAATAAATTTCTTTCCATCTTTGGTCGCCTAGTTACTAGTGCCCCTTCTTGGAGGCAACTAAAGATATGCTATGCCTATATATATACATACACACACACACACACACACACACACACACATATATATATTTGTCATTCCCTTATGAATGGTAGAGCCATTTGCACCTTGTTTTTTTGTTTTAGTACATCTGAGAGATAATTCCTGTCAGTACATTTAGAACTGTCCTATCCTTTTTATTGGCTGCATAGTATTCCAATGCATGGATGTTAACAATTGATTGAATATGTCCTTATTAATGGGCACTCATTTCAATCTCTTGTTGCTTTGTTACTATTATTCAATGAATGGTTTCATATATACCCTTCTCTAGGATAAATTCCTAGAAATGAAATTGTTGGCCCCACATCTGTGCATTTATATTTTTAGCAATTTATAAACTTAATGAAAATGTAAGTTCTGTGAGAGCAGAGATTTTATCTCTTTTGTTCCCTGCTGTATCCCCCTGTTCCCTGTGCCTAGCACAGTCCCTGGCACACAGTAGGTGTTCAGGAAATCTTGATGGAATGAATGAATACTGCTGTGTTGCCTTTTAGTACGTGATCACTTAGGTGATTTACAGTCCCTCCAGCAATGAGTGAGAGTGCCTGATTCTCTACAACATCACTTACAGAGGATATTATCCAGCGTTTTGATCTCTGCTGTTTTGGAGAGTTTTTTTTTAAAACATTGATATCACATTTGAGTTTAATTGGCAGTTTTCTTTTTATAAATGAGGTCAACTGGTGCTTTCATGAGATAAAGATAAGGTGTGTCCCCAAGTTCTCTCAGGAATCCTCCATTCCCCTAAGGGTTTGAGCCCCAATCCCGTCCCAGTGCTGGGAACCCTGGGCCTAGGGGGGCTTCAGCCTCTGAGGGTGTGAGCCCCGCAGCAGCATCTGCCAGAGCCGTCTTGTGGGTCAGGGCTACACCTGCCCTCTCAGGAGTACCTCCCTTCACCCCTTCCCCCACTCAGCTTTAACAACCTGGGCATCCAGTGCGTGAGGAAAAAGGAGATCGAGGCTGCCATTGAGCGGAAAATTCAGCTGGGCATCGACCCTTACAACGGTGAGTCCCTATGCCTAGCTCAGCATCTCATCCTCCTAAACTGCTCACCCTTCCGCCACCCCATCCCCTCGCCTTTTCCAGTATCCACCATTGCCCCAGCCCCATCCCTTCCCTCTCCCCCATCCCCTTACTAGGGTCTCCACCACCCTCACTCAGCCTTCCTGTATCTCTCCTACAGCTGGGTCCCTGAAGAACCATCAGGAGGTGGACATGAATGTTGTGAGGATTTGCTTCCAGGCCTCATACAGGGACCAGCAAGGACAGATGCGCCGGATGGACCCTGTGCTCTCTGAGCCCGTCTACGACAAGAGTGAGTTGAGGGTGCTGTTCCATTAGGATTGTCTTTGGTTGCAAGTACTGGAAAGCCTCACACAGAATGGGTGAACAAACAGGGAATTCTTTTTTTTTTTTTTCTCAGTTATTAAGTCTGTTCCTATTGATTCAGCTGCTCAGCTATATCAGGGTGCTGGTTCAGTAGCTCTGTGATTCTCGTGGCCTTTCCCTCATGGTCATGAGCTGGCTGCCACAGCTCCAAACATCATATCTGTGTTCAAGATGGTGTGTGGGGTCACCCTGTATGGTGTGCAAGCTGTACACTGCCCACCTCTAGAGGTCAGCATTTACTAAGTAGCCTATGGCAACAGCGCCTTCTGGTATTGTAGAAAGCACAATCAGTACAACTATACGACGCAGTCCTTGGGAAGAGGCAGCATAAGTAATATCTCTCTCTTTTACAGAAAATGATACATTTCTCAGAATCACCCTGATAGGCATCTGCTTATGTCTCATTGGCCAGAACTTGGCTTCATGGCCATCTTTAGTTGCAAAGCAGTCTGAGAAAGCATGTATTTAGATTTTTCATCCTCTATAGAGGGGTACAGGCATAGAAGAGGATATTAGGAATGGCTGTTAGATTTTAGCCCACTTACAGTGACTGCCACAAGCATCAAAATGGGCAGGGAGTATTAATTCTATCTGGGCTTTTATGGATGCAAGAGATAGAATCCCAACTCACATAAGGAAAAAAAAAAAAAGAATGTTAGTTCCATTAACTAAAAATATCCAGAGGTAATATGATGCTTCACGTTTGGCTTTATCCAGGCTCTCAGTGATGTCATTAGGGATCTATTTCTCTCTATCTCTCGGTCATGCTTCCTTCATGTTAGAGTCACTCTTAGCAGGGCCCTCCCAGGCGGGGGCAGAATAACTGTACAAAAGTCTAGTCTTATGTCCTACCAGCCTGGAACTTTTCTCCGGCTCCTGAAGAGAGATTCTTTTACCCAATTTCTTTTTTTTTTCCTGCATGCAGCCTTTCTCTAATTGTGGTGAGTGGGGGCTACTCTTTATTGAGGTGCGTAGGCTCTAGGCACTTGGGCTTCAGTAGGTGTGGCAAGTGAGCTTAGTAGTAGCGGCTCAAAGGCTCTAGAGCTCAGGCTTAGTTGCTCCGTGGCATGTGGAATCTTCCCATACGAGGAATTGAACCTGTGTCTGCTGCATCAGCAGGCAGATTCTTATCCCCTGTACCACCAGGGAAGTCTTACCCAATGTTTTTGCTCACATCCTCCTCTCTGACCAATCATCTGTGGCCAGGAGGAGGCGATGCTTTGATTGGCCAGGTCTAGGGCAGGTGGTCACCACTTGGCTACCAGTGGGCTTTGACCTATCCAATCCCCATGACAGAGATGGGAGCTCGCTAGACCTCAGCGCGGAGGACTCATGAATTTCCATTAACCCCTCCACCCCGGGCGTCTTCTTTTTCCACCTGCACCACAGGTTCCAAAAATATCAGACACCCTGGCTTGTCCATTTCCCAGCTCTCCAACCCCGAGTGGGCACCCATGGGGTTCCTGGTAAGGATTTAATGACTGAATTCTTTTTTCTTTTCCCCTTTGTGTGTCTTCCTCTCCTCTTTCCCAGAGTCTACAAACACGTCGGAGCTACGGATTTGCCGAATCAACAAGGAGAGTGGGCCGTGCACGGGTGGCGAGGAGCTCTACCTCCTCTGCGACAAGGTGCAGAAAGGTGAGGGGCCTGGGGCGGCGAGCGGGCAGAGTGGGGTCTGACGCTTGCAGAGAGGGAGACGGTGAGGGGTAGCTGGTTAACCAGGGGAGCCTAGGAGAAGGGTCCAGAGCTCTGCTTTCAGATATTGCCCATTGATTCACTCTCTCACTGAGTCACCCAGCCACACACCCACTCACTCATTCATGAACGGAGAACGAAGCCTGTTTATACCGGCCAGCGTTGAGTGCTGGGAAGACCTTGGCATCAGGAACTTTGGGGAACTACTCTGGTATTAAAATCGTGGAGTTGTATAAATAAATGCTTAATGACAGTTGGGTCGGAGCTCCAGATGGAGAAAATGGAGGAGGTTTCCATTTGAGTCATGTCCATTCAAATGTCAAAACCCCTTTCTCAAACAGGGTTTTTATTTATTTATTTTTTATTTTATTTTATTTTTTTTTTCAAACAGGGTTTTTAAAAATTTTACTATTTTTTCATTTTTGGCTGCGCTGGGTCCTTGTTGCTTTGTGTGGGCTTACTCTAGCTGTGGCGAGCAGGGGCCACTCTTCATTGCGATGCACAGGCTTCTCATTGCGGTGGCTTCTCTTGTTGCAGAGGACAGGCTCTAGGCGCACACATGCTTCAGTAGTTGGAGCACGCGGGCTCCGTAGTTGCGCCATGCGGGCTCTGGGGCACCGGCTCAGCAGTTGTGGTGCACAGGCTTAGTTGCTCCACAGCATGTGGGATCTTCCCAGATCAGGGATCGAACTCATGTCCCCCTGCATTGGCAGGTGAACTCTTATCCATTGTGCTACCAGGGAGGTCTGGGTTTTGGGGGTTTTTTTTGAACGAGTAAATGGTTATTGGGTGGCTCCTCTATGCTGGCCCCTGTGCTAGGCAGTGCTGGGACATAGCAGTGACTGAGACATGTCCAGACTCTGCCCTCACAGGGCTCTCAGTTCAGTGAGAGGTAGGGAAAGAAATACAAATTATAAATATGCATAATGCTGATAGGGAAGAAGACATAATACTGAGACTGAACAACAGGAAGACCAGACATGGTCCAGGCATCTGGGAAGGCTTCCTGGAGGAGGTGATATTTGAGCTGAGATCTGAGGAAGGCCAAGGAGATTCTTAGGAGCCTGGGAATTGGGGTTAGGGCAGAAAAACTGATCCTGCCCTGGGTGAATGATTCAAGGTAGATGTGAGTTCTATTCCATCATTGACTCACTGGCTGATTTTGGCCAGGTGACTTCACTACCCTGAGCCAGTTTCCTCAACCCCTAAAATGAGCTGGTTTTAAGATGAGATGGGGGGAGGGGGGATCAGGATGGGGAACACATGTAAATCCATGGCTGATTCATGCCAATGTATGGCAAAAAACACTACAATATTATAAAGTAATTAGCCTCCAACTAATAAAAATAAATGGAAAAAAAAAAAAAGATGAGATGGGATCCCAAGTACCTAAGAGCTACATCACAAAGAGTTAGCATTTACTGAGGATTTTCTGAGTTCCAGACCTGGAGCTAATATTTTGCATAATGCTTATAAAAGCCATCATACTTAACAAGGATTGATCACCTATTATGTTAAGTCCTCTTCTAAGCCCTTTTATTGGAATGACTCATTTAATCCTCCTAACAAGTCCTATGAGGTGAGTGCTAGACTTTCCCTCTTTAGGGTGATGACACTGGGCCCAGAAATATCAGTAACTCCCCCCAAGTCCTAGGAGCTAGTGCTGAAGAGCTCCCATCTTGGATTTCCATCTTGGCTGCACCACTTCTTGACCATGTGACCTTGGACAAGTGGCTTAATCTCCTGGTGCCTTTGCTTTCTCCTCAATATCATGGGATTCCTAGAATTGCTGTATGTCTTAGAGGTACTCTGTGTGTGTCCAACACATATAAAGCCTCAATATATATACATATATATGGGCTTCCCAGGTAGCGCTAGTGATAAAGAACCTGTCTGCCAATACAGGAGACGTGGGTTCGATCTCTGGATTGTAAAGATCTCCTGGAGGAGGAAATGGCAACCCACTCTAGTATTTTTGCCTGGAGAATCCCATGGACAGAGGAGCCTGGTGTGCTACTATTCATAGGAGTCAGACATGACTGAAGTGACTTAGCATGCATGCACGCATAATTAGTTTTTTTTTTTTATCATTTTCAATTAGTTTTATTCTTAGAAATACTGGTGTTGATTTTGGGGGAGGCTGAGTGAGTTGGGTCTCTGGTGGACCAAGTGTCTTGGCTCAGCTGATGCCCCCACTTTCCTGCCAGAGGATATATCGGTGGTGTTCAGCAGAGCCTCCTGGGAAGGCCGGGCTGACTTCTCCCAGGCCGATGTGCACCGCCAGATTGCCATTGTGTTCAAGACACCACCCTACGAGGACCTGGAGATTGTTGAACCTGTGACAGTGAATGTCTTTCTGCAGCGGCTTACCGATGGGGTCTGCAGTGAGCCTCTGCCCTTCACCTACCTGCCTCGGGACCATGGTAACCACGGCAACCCAGGGTGACCCACTGCCCCAGAGACCAGGTCTCTGGCCTTACTTGGGGTGACCCAAAGGGAAAGGGGAAGAGGCAGAATAGAATGTGAGCTCCGAGTTGCACAGACTGGGGTTCAAATCCTGATCTGCTTACTGGCTTATGTGACCTTGGCTTTTCCTAGTCTCAGACTCCTCCTGTGCAAAATGGAAATAACAGTACCCATCTCTTGATATTTTGGGATTATTTAATGATTTCTCCTCTCAGCACAGCTGCTCATGCCTGGGCCTCTGCTGGGAACATAGTGGTACCAGAGACAGCCCCAGCCCTGTGCTATGAGGCTCATCGTCCCACGGAGGTGGGGGGATGAGGGGGAACAGATCCATTCCCATACAGGGACAGCCAGAGTGGGCAGGGCTGGGATGGAATTGCTTACAGAATTCGGCTTGCAGAGTAGGACAACTGACCCAGCCTTAGAGTTCAGGGAGGGTTTCCTGGAAGAGGGGGCAGTTGACCTGAGGACAGGAGGGTGACTAAGCAGTTTTCCAGGGAAGTGGTAAGAGTTGAGGAAGAGTGTTTTAAGCAGCTGGAACAGCAAGTGCAAAGGCCCTGAGGCAGAATCATGCCTGGGATGTTCCAGTGTGGTTAGAAATGGATTTGGGTTTTATTCTAAGATATGGACATCTATATACATTGGTTGGGAAAAAGCCAGAACAGCTCAACAACTTCCCAAATGGTTTCTATAATTCTTATTTTTCATGGGTTATTTTTTATGCCTCTGGTATCTCCTGAACAGACAGCTACGGCGTGGACAAGAAGCGGAAACGGGGGCTGCCTGACGTCCTTGGGGAGCTGAATAGTTCCGGTGTGTCCCCTCTGCGCCTTTTGATGTCCCTCTCCAGGTCCCTGGGAGGGGTTGACTGACCCCACCGCCCTGCCCACTCCCCCAGGTTGGGCAGGAGGGGCTGGTGGGATCCAGGGGTCCTCATCTTTGCCTTCCTTCAGATCCCCATGGCATTGAGAGCAAACGACGGAGGAAAAAACCAGTCTTCCTGGATCAATTCCTGCACAGCCATGGCTCAGGTGGGTATTGGTTCAGTGCAAGCCCCTGCCCTCAAGGTGGGCTGAGGCGGGGGCTGTAGCCCCGCTTTTCTAGCCTCTCCAGGCCCCCCAAGAGCTCCTACATGGCCAGTGCCTCACCACTTAACCAGCAACATAAAGTGGAAAGAATAGTGGCTCTGGACACAGTCCAGAGGCTCTGATCTCCACTTGGCCATGTACATGCTGTGTGACCTTCATCAAGTTGCTCTACCTCTCAGAGCTTCAGGGCTCCTCTGAAAAGTATCACCACATACCTACCTCATTGGCCCTTTAAATATTACTGTATTTATTTTTACAGACACTCTGAGCATAACTGCTTTGTGTGTGTTCACTCAGTCCCTCTGGGGGGTGGGGGGTGGGTGCTGTCATCTCCTCTCATGCCCCAGTCCCATTTTACTGGTGAAAAACTTGAGGCCCAGAGAGGTGACATCTCTTGCCCAAGGTCACACAGCCAGTCTGTGGTGGAGCTAGGAGTTACACCTGAGCAAAAGTTTATTTACTTATTAATTTATTTAAATTTTTAATTATTTAATTAGGCTGCAATAGGTCTTAGTTGCATGTGGAATCTTCAGTCTTCTATTAGTTGCGGCATGTGAACTCTCAGTTGCGGCATGTGGGATCTATTTCCCTGACCAGGGATCAAACCCAGGGCCTCTGCATTAGGAGAATGGAGTCTTAGCCACTGGACCACCACCCATGGGCATAGGTTTAGATTAGTGATGATACATATGAAACCAGTAGTAGGGAGTAGATGATGGATAAATAGAAGTGGTGTCAAAGCTAGCCAGCCTTGAATTCAGTCACCCTCTGACCTCTTCTACCACGGCCTTCATCTCAACTCACATGCCAGCCTCTAGATCCCATGAACCGTAACCCTGTCTGGCTGCTATCCAAAGCCTCCCTACTTGCTGACCGCTAGCTCTAAGAACGCTGTCCCCAGCACCCCAGCTACCCCAGGAGCCCAGCTCCCAGTCAGCTCCCAACCAGAATCTGCTGGAGTTGTCAATCTCAGCCAATCACCTAAAGGTTTCAAGTGTCATCTGTTGTCCCCCCAACCCCTCTAACCAATGCCCAAGACCTCTGCCCCTAGAAACCCCCAGTCCTAGTCCATCTCACCAAACTTCAACCCTGAATCCCTGAAATCCCTCATCATTAGCCATTTAGTAATTCTTTCGCCTGCTCCATCACCCCAATTTCCCAGTATTTAAAGTTCCCCTTTCTCATTCCTGTGGCAAAGCTGCCCTGGCACTAGAGTGGAATGGTTAGGAACCTGGCCTCTGCAATCAGACTGGGTTTGAATTCAAGGCCACAATTTAGCCACTGTGTGATCTTTTTTTAAAAAAATATTTATGGCTGCATCAGGTCTTAGTTGCAGCATGTGGGCTGTTTGTTGAACTACAAGGTCTTCTCTCTAGCTGTGGTGTGTGGGGGGTCTAGAAATGTATTTGTGGTGCATGGGCTTAGTTACCCTGAGGCATGTGAGATCTTAGTTCCTGAACCAGGAATCAAACCTGTGCCCCCTGAATTGGAAGGTGGATTCTTAACCACTGCGCTGGGGAGTCCCAATGCAACCTCTTTGGGCCTCAGTTTACTTAACTTGCAGATGGAGATCTTCCTTTTTGGGGTTCCTTCCAGAATTTAGTGAGGCCACAAGGCACAGTTATTTAGTACAGGATTTGGTGCCCAGGAGATGTTAGGAACTTGCTGGAAACCAGGAATGCCAACTGTATTTGTTATGATCATGTTTAACTGCATTCACAGCAAAATCTCAAATAACAGGAGCTTCAATAGGATAGGACATTATTTCTCCTCTCACATTAACACAGTCCAGGGGTGGGTGGTCCACAGATGGTTTGGTGGCTGCATGATCATCGGCGACCCAAGCTCCTGCCATTTTCAGCTCATAATTTCCACCTTATGATGCAGAATGGCTATTGCAGCTCCAGCCATCATGCTCACATTTCAGCCAGTAGCACTTGGTTATATGTCCACGTGAAGCTACAAGGGAAGCTGGAAAATAGAGTTCCAGCAGCACTCTGACTCCTTCTAAAATAAGTGTAGTCAGTCTTTGCTGGTAAGGTTTGTCTTGTCTCAAAAAGACTTCCACAATAGCACTTACCATTTTACCTTACAATTTTGGGACTTGATATTTCTCCTTGGGTCTCCCATGCTGTGGAGATTTCACCTTTTGGGTTGTCTTTAAATGCTGGGGGGCTTTGGAGGATCCTTTTCTTCCTCATTCTTAAGGAAAACCCACTAGCATTATAGGAGCACAGTTTCAACCCTGGTTCCACAACTCACCTGTGGACTGCAAGTTATTTTGCCTGTTTGCTTATTAAATAAGAATGATTCTTAGTTTCTTGAGGAACTTCCAAACTGTTTTCCACACACCAATTTACCCTCCCACCAACAATGTATGAGGGTTCTCTTTTCTCTACATCCTCACCAGCACTTGTTATTTATGACTTTCTGATGACAGCCATTCTGACAGGTGTGAGGTAATACTTCATTGTGGTTTTTATTTGCATTTCTCTGATGATTAACCATGTTGAGCATCTTTTCATGTGACTGTTGGCCAACTGCATGTCTTCCTTAGAAAAATGTCTATTCAGTTGCTCTGCTCATTTTCTTAGTTGGGGTATTTGTTTATTTAATATCGTATGAGCTGTTTTTATTTTGGACATTAACCCTGTATTGGTCATATCATTTGCAAATACCATATGACCCAGCAATTCCACTCCTGAGTGTATATCCAAAACAAACAAACAAAATGAAAACACTAATTTGAAAAGAGACATGTACCCCAGTGCATAGCACCATTGTTTACAATAGCCAAGAAATGGAAGTAACCTAAGTGTCCTTCAATAAATGAATGGATAAAGAAGATGTGGTGTATATATATATATATATATATATATACTGCAGCAGCAGTAATCCATTGTATATATATATATATAATATACAATGGATTACTGCTGCTGCTTAGTCGCTTTAGTCGTGTCCGTCTGTATACTACCCTGTGGACTGCAGCCTGCCAGGCTCCTCTGTCCATGGGATTCTCTAGGCAAGAGTCCTGGAATGGGTTGCCATGCCCTCCTCACAATGTATTACTACTCAGTCATAAAACTGTAATTTGCAACAACATGGATGGACTTAGAGAGTATTATGCTTAGTGGCAGAGAAAGACAAATACTGTACAACTTATATGTGGAGTCATAAAAAAAGTAAATATAACAAAAAAGAAATACTGACAGATATAGACAACAAACTAGTGGTTATCAGTGGGAAGAGCGGAGGGGGAGGGGAAATACAGGGATGGGGATTAAAAGGTACAAATTACGATGTATAAAATAAATCAGCAACAGGGACAGGGAATACAGCACAGGGAATATAGCCAATATTTTATAACAACTATAAGCAGAGTATGGGCTTCCCTGGTGGCCTGCATGGTAAAGAATCCACCTGCAATGCAAGAGACCTGGGTTCAGTCCCTGGGTTGGGAAGATCCCCTGGAGAAGGGAATGGCAACTCACTCTAGTATTCTAGAAGGGCAATGCCCTTCTAGTATTCTTGCCTGGAGAATCCCATGGACAGAGGAACCTGGTGGGCTACAGTCCATGGGGTGGCCAAGAGTCAGACACAACTGAATGATTAAGCACACACGCATAAGTGGAGTATAACCTTAAATAATTGTGAATCACTATGTTGTACACCTGAAACGTATAATACTGTCCATCAACTATACCTCAAAAAAAATTATTGTAAATAAAAAAAAAGAGAGAAAGAACGGTGATAGTCCCTACTCCCAGTTCTCCCTGGCGTTACAGGAGGCCACATGATAAAGTGTTTAGCCATGGACCCGGCATTTGACCTGGCGGGAGGTCGGCCGTAAAAGCCCACCACGCTTCCTTCTTTCTCCTCATCCCTGCAGGACCGTACCTCCCACCGTCAGTGCTGCTACCGGACACAGACTTCTTCCCGGGCACCGTATCCCTCCCTAGCCTGGAACCCCCCGGCGGGCCGGACCTCCTGGACGACGGCTTTCCCTACGACCCCGCTGCCCCAACGCTCTTGACCATGCTGGACATGTTGCCCCCAGCGCCACCACTCACCAGCGCTGTCGCGGGCAACGGCGGTGCAGGGGCTGCGGTCGGGGAGCCCCCCGGCCCTGAGCCGCTGACGCTGGACTCGTACCAGGCCCCGGGCCCCGGGGACGGAGGCACTGCCAGCCTCGTGGGCAGCAACATGTTCCCCAACCAGTACCGTGAGGCCGGCTTTGGGGGTGGCCTCCTGTCCCCGGGCCCTGAGGCCACGTAGCCCCGCGGCGCTGGAGGAGAGGCGCTGGGTGGGGAGGGAGGTGGTCTTCCAACCAGGATACCCAGCACCCCCATCCCCTGGGGCGGCCCTTGGTCAGTCTTCCAACGTCCTCGTCCTTCTGAATCGGACATCTTCAGCGCTGGGGAGAAACTCCGTAGCACCGGTTTCTCCTGAGCTCATTTTACAAATGAGAAAACTGAATCTGGAGAGGAAAGGGGGCTTGGCTCTCAAGCACTAGCTTGTTAAAGCTGCTGTCTCAGCCCCCACAAGCAGGGGCACCTTCTCCAGGGGGATTCTGTTGTGTATATATGGGAGGAGGGTGCAGATCCCCCATCCTCCTTCCCCAAGCTTGAAGGTGGGGGGGGGGTAGGTTGTTTGTTCAGAGTCTTCCTAATAAAGATGAGCTTTTGATCCCTGGGGGTCTCGTCTCTTCGCTAGAGAAGCAACCCCCGCCCTTACGTACGAAGTCTCCAGGCTCTCTGCCTACGTCCCTCCGATTTCCTCAAGCCCCGCCCTTCCGCTCACTCTCTAGTCCAACCTAGTTCCCGCCCCTCGAGTAGGCGGAAGCGCCTCTGCAGCTCCCCGCCCCGTCACTCAGCCTCCCACTTCCGCTTCCGGTGCGGGTCGCGCGCGAGCGCAGCGGTGGGAGGCGGCGACGAGCCGGTGAGTTCGGGCAGTGGGTGACCTGCTGGCCTCGGGTGGACGTCAGCCCGGCTTCGCCCTTGCCTCGGCTTCTCCGCGGTCTACTGTGAGACTCCGCTTGGCCCGGGCCCCGAGGGCCGCCCGCCCCGCACCCCTTCGGCCTGCCGTGCCTCAGGCCGCGCCCTGCCTCAGCCGTCGGCCAGAACTCGCCGCGTCGGACCTTGCCGCTTGCCACAGGTCCCGCCCCCTTGTCAGAAAAACTTAGCCTGATCCCTCAGGCCCAGAGCGGGTGCTCGAGCCCTGTCCTCCAGCCTTGCCCCTAAACGCAGCCCACCCCCTCCTGTCAGCTCGCTCCGCCTCCCTCAGCCTCTGTACCCTCCCCCCGCCCCCAATTTAGATTCCTGCTTCAGACCTCAGCAGCGCTCCGTTCTTTTCTTCCGGCGCTGCCCTCCTCCCCCTCCTCCTCCCGCAAGTGTCGGGAGGACATCCACCACCATCCACGCCCTTCACCTGCCCTCGACCCCCACCTCCACACCACTACCCTTTTTCCATAAAAACTTTCTCCTCTTCGTCCACCTGCCTTCATCCCCAGACCTCTGGTACCCAGACCCCCCCACCCCCACGGATGGCCCCTGGTGGGCGCCGTTTCAGCCTTTCCTCTCCCTTGAGCTCCCAACCCCAGCTGCTCATGGTCTTCCTCCAGACCTTACTTCAAACACTCACTCCTTCCATCCTTGAACCTTTCATCCTTGATTCCTCCTCATTAAACACAGGATACCTCCTTCCCTGGGCTGCTCACTCCAGAATCAGCGGGAGTGGGGGTGGGGGATTCAGAATGCCCAGGGTACTGGATCAGACTTGCCCGGGATCCACCAGAGTGTATCCTGCTGCACGGCTCTGCAGCCTCACTTCCCCTCCCTGAAGCTGATGTTCAGGATTAATTCTATCAACTTGTTAGGTGACGGTGATCCTGCCCGTATTTTTTTTTTTTAAAGCCCGTCTGACACCCCTTCCCTCATCCCTCAGGTTGAGGCCCCAGCCTTGGCCTCACCACAATGTGGCACGAGGCTCGGAAACATGAGCGGAAACTTCGAGGCATGATGGTCGACTACAAGAAGAGGGCAGAGCGGCGCAGGGAGTACTATGAAAAGATCGTAAGTGACCTTTAATCTGGGTTGGGAGCTCCGTGAGAGGGCAGAGCCCTGGTTAATCCTGGTACCACTGAGGCTTGGAAATAGCTAAGAGGGGATATCCGTTTCCTCAAGAGAATGTCCATCTTTTGAGCATAATGATGTGCTGTGCTGTGCGGTGCTGAGCTAAGTCTCTCAGTCCCATCCAGCTCTTTTCCACCCCGTGGTCTGTAGCCCACTGGGCTCCTCTGTCCATGGGATTCTCCAGGCAAGAATACTGGAGTGGGTTGCCATGCCCTCCTCCAGAGCATAATCATTGGGGTGGGTGGGGGGGGAACTGAGGTATTTTGTTTATTGTCGCATGCTGTGCTGTCTGGTGTGGACTCAGAGTACAGAACTGGTGTTGGCAGGAAGGAGGGAAGTCTTTGTAGCACTCCAGACATAAGATTGGCCACCTCCGGAATGTTGTCGGTCTTGCTTATTCCTGTGTTCACAGTGCCTAGAGGAGCTCAGCCCTTCTTCAGATTTAACTTGGCACCCGCAAGGAGTGCCACCAGTATTCACTAAGTGAATTCTGACCATTTCTCCTGTTAGATGCTTCAGTTGCTTTTGGAAAGAAGAGCACACTCCATCTTGTGACCTAAATGGCCCTTGTGTTCTGGCCTCTCAGCTTCATCCTGAGGTCGCGCCATTGGCCTTTTTTTCCACCTCTGCCACCACTGGGTATTGAGCCTGTAATGCCTCCTCTTAGCTCCTTAACTTGTTACTTGTTCTTGAGACCCGAGCTTGAAATGGCATTGGCATATTAGGTTCTGATCTTCTGTGAGATGGTATTTATTTAGACGTTTTCATTTACTACTGCATCACTGCCGCAGGCTCCTCCCTGGTGTTCTGGCTTCCAGTCCTGCCGCCTCTAATCCACCCTCCTCAGAGAGGCCAGAGAGTTTTTTTTTTTTTTTTTTTTAAATAAAGGATGAAATTAGTGTTATTTTTTAAAAAATATTTACTTATTTGGCTGCATGGGTCTTAGTTGTGGCATGAGAGATCTAGTTCTCTGACCAGAGACCAAACGAACCTGGGTTCCCTGCATTGGGAGTGTGGAGTTTTAATTGCTGGACCAGTAAGAAAGTCCCCAGAGAGGTCTTTCTAAAGCACAAAGCTGACTGTCCCTCCCTTACTCAGAACTTCTCTGTGACTCCCTAGTGCCAGGCTCCTCATGACAGCCTTTAAGACCATCCATGGCCTGGCTTTTACCACCTCCTACAGACTCATGCTACTCTGCTTTCTGCCTTATTCCTTTGCTCACGTCATCTGGCCTCCCTACTATCTGGGGCTACTTTTTCTAGCCGAAAAAGGTTCGTAAAGAGCTCCCGGTTTACCTCCCAAAATTGTATAGTTCTCTCTAGCCATAGGGGCTTTGCGTGAGCTTTTCCTCTACTACATTAGCTCCTGCTAATCTCTCAGATCTCGGTCCTCAGGGGAGTCTTCCCTCATCCTTCATACTCAATCAGTGTCCCCTGTAAATGCCATTATAGCTTCTTGTTTTTCCCCTTTGTGGCATTTAACACAAATTTTCAGCTCTGTGAGACTGGGGACTATGTTTATTTGGGTCATGCTACTGCTTTCCAAGCTTGAGCCCAACGTGATTTAAAAGACTAGGTGAATAAAACAATAATAATAGCAGTTGCCATTTTAATTGATCCTTCTCAGGCTCCAGGCTCTGTGAGGAGAACTTCAGATGTGTGATTTCTTTGAGTCCCCACAATCAGCCATGAAACAGAGGCTGCTATTATCCTAGGAGAGGAATCTCTGAGAGCACTTCTCTAGTGGTGTCGGAATAATTATGACGTGACCACAAGGGCAGGGCCTGGGTCTGTGTTGGTTATAGTTGAGGCCCTAGCGGTGGGCCAAGAACGCTATCAGTGCTCAGGGCTGAATAACCGCCACTTATTAAGGGTTCAGGGTGCGCCAGACCCCATGCCTGCTACTCTGGCACATTGTTTCTAGTCTTTTCAGCAGCCCTGAGATGGGTGTTGGTTCCTGTGTTAAAGGTTTGCTGATAACAGTAGTTAATGCTATTGAGCATTTGTGTGTTAAGCACTGTGCTGAGTGCTTGACACGCGCCTCTGTTTCATCATATCTTCACTGAAGACAGATGTTTATTTCCTTTTTGCCTAAAAGCCCACAGGTGGCCAGTCCTGCTCAGGGAACTGTTACTCAGCCGTGAGTGGCTTCTCTTGCCAGTGTTTTCTTAAGGTCTACGAAGGCTGCTCAAATTCTAGCCATCATGTCTTTATATTCCATTCAGCAGGGAGGAAGAAGGGAGGGAAAAGAGGCCAGTGGGTTCTTGTCAGTTGTTAAGAAAGTTTCTAAATGTTTGCACGTGGTACATCCACTCGTATCCGCGTGACCTGAAAGTAGCCCCTGGTCACATACAGCTGCCGGGAAAGCTGAGAGGCATACCCTGTGTTCTGGGGGGCCTTGTGCCGATTATGTTAGGAGTCTTATTACTGTGGAGGAAGGGGCAGTGGATGTTGGTTGCCAACTAATGGGCTATCACAAATGCTGGGGATAGGGGCACCTCCCTCCCAGGTTATCGGAGTATTCGGTGAGATTGGGCACAGAGACTCTCGAGGGCTGACCTGCCCAGGATAACTTGCTCAGTAAATGCCAGCTCTTCTTGGTGCTTAGGTTATTATTACAAAGTAGAGCTGGAATCACATCCAGGTGGATGGATGGAGTGGAGGAAAGAAGGCTGGAGTGGGGTCACTCAGAAGGCCTGGGTCTCCAGGCTCTCGTCCGTGTGAGCCAGAGAGCTCTCTGAGCTTTGTTTTCCCCCTTGGGATGGTGGTGATGACCAGCCCCTCTCACTCGGTGACAGGGAAGAACTTCAAGAATAGAACAGTGTCTGTGGGGTGCGTTGTGGTGCAGGCCTGTACAAGCAGCTATTGTCCCCGAACATGAACGTGATCAGCATTCAGATCAGAGCCACCAAGCTGTGGATGGTGGTGGCTTTGAGGAGAGGATGGGGCTGTCACATGGGTCTCTCATCTTATTCTCCACCCTAGAGAGGCAGCTGAGGCCAGTGTTGAAGAAGCAGAGGTCGGCTGTGGCAGACTGGGCCGGTGTGTCCAGACAGCTGATTTCTCTTCTCCTGATGTGTCCTTGGTGCCTGCTGTCTCTCTCTTCCTGTCCCTGGTTCCGTCATTGTTCCTGTTCCTGTCGACTTTCTTCTAATCAGTGATTTGGGTAAAGAAACAGAATTCCATGTTGATGTGAAAGTGGGAAATAACACAGATCGCAGCTCTGGTCTCTCCTTCTCCAGGAGACCCCAGGCTGACCCCACTGGGCTGAGTGGTGCAACCCCTGGCTCCCCCATCCCAGCACTGCTCACTCTAGGTCGTTACTGTGGAGCCCAGGTCTGTCCCTCACACTGGACTGCAAGCCCTGGGGACAGGGCTGACTGTCTCAGTCACAGCTGTGGCCCTAGCACAAGGCCTCGCTCAGAGTGGGTGTCTACTTCACAGTTGAATGAGTGAGAGAAAGGCCAGGAACTTGTCTGATCCTCTTTGATCCTGGAGACGTAATGGTCCAGTGGTTAAAAATAGATTTTGGCTCTTGAAGAAGTATTTGTACATG